TCCAGAGTACCGAAAAGTAGAGTTTGTATGTTAGTGGAACCTCAGATTCAAGAGGAACATTTTTATTTTTAAGGATATTTAAAAGTGTGTGGGAGTTCAGCCATCCAGTCTACATGTGTTTTGTAGACTTGAAGAAGGCATTCGACTGTGCCCCTCAGGCTATTCTGTGGACCGTGCTGCTAGGGTAAGAGGGGTTTCTAGCCTTTTGTTAGGAGTTATTTAGTCCTCGTGCAACTACTGTAGTTTTCGGGTCATAAGCCGCTACTTTTTCCCCACACTGCGGCTTATACTGACTGAATACTAATGCTAATGCATTTTTTTTTTTTTTCATGCGGCCAAAAACATTTTTCCTGGTAACAGTAGACCAATAAAATTGATAAGTAGTATATATACGGTATATATTTTTACCGGTTGTTAAGAGACGTTGTAATGTTGTTTGTGCACTGTTCCGTAATAAAAACATAAGCAATGTGATTTGTGTGTTACTGATACGTACGCATACTTAAAGGTAGCCGTGTTACAGGCGCTGTTCGAGGAAAAAAAAAAAAAGCATTTGCAGTATGTATTTTTGTATGTTACCATAACGTTTGTGTTACCATGTTTATGTTACCTTACGGATTAAATTAAACGTTAAAAATCCTCACGTGTAATATTTCTGTGTAAATATCTCACATTACGAGTGAAACGCATACGGCTTAAAAGCCGGTGCGGCCTATACAAGTACAAAATTGATTTTCTTTCTAAAATTAGAGTATGCAGCTTTTAATCAGGTGCGCTCTGTAGTCCGGGAATTACGGTACATTAAGAGCTTGGCCTGCATTTCTGGCAATAAGTCAGACTCATCTGCAGTGGGCATTGGATTTTGCCAGGGCTATCCTTTACTAATGATTCTGTTCAAAGTTTTTATGGACCTAATTTCAATTCAGGTGGCAGAAGGCCTGCAACTTAATGACCTTAAAATCTCTTTTTGTAGATGTTGTGGTCCTCTTGACTTTATCAGGTGGTGGTAGCACTGTAGTTATTCATAGCAGAGCATGAAGTAGAGCTGAGTATGTGAGAGTTTTTCCCACCTACGATGGTTAAAATGGCTTTATCGTAACCATGGAGTATAAATGGTCATGTCAATATTAAGCTGTCTGCATTTAATTCAATCTGAGTTTTTTGTTGTTGTTTTTTTACTCCCACACGCTGAGAATGCATCATTAATCCCAACTGGAAATTTTTCTACCTGGCACACAGGGCTGAGCATGCGTGTTTATACACTACCAGATAGGGAAAAATATGGCAACAGTGGAAGTTTCAGACGAGCAGGGAATTTGACTCAGTGTTGTTTGGATTTCACGAGAAGGATGTCGAGCAAAATGTGGTAATTTACAAAACATGATGTAAAACTATGGAGGTATACTGGACATGTCCTACTGGGAGGAGGCCACGGAGTATACCCAGCACATGCTGGAGAAAATATCTCTCATCTTGCCTGGAAATGACTCGGTGTTCCCCTGGTGCAGCTGGAAGAGCTATCTGGGGAGAGTAAGGTTTTAGGGGCAGGGATAGCTAAGTAGGTAGCATGCCATGAGGTACCCCTGAGCAAGGTACCGTCCCTACACACTGCGCCCCGGGCGTCTGATTAGTGCCTGCCCACTGCTTCACTGAGTGAATGGGCTAAATGCCGAGAGAATAACTTCACAATTTTACAATGAAGAACATTATTCTGCAATTGTTTCACAATTTGTAGATACAGTTTTTTGCAGACTGGCAAACTTCTGCCTAGCTTTACTTCTGAGAAAGTCTACCTTTCTAAGATGCTCTTCATGTTACTCACTTGTTGCCAGTTAAACTAATTAGTTGTAATATTCATTCATTGGTTTCTTTTGAGTACCACTTATTTTCCAACCTCAAATTCAAAATGAACCAATATTTGTCATGAAATAGTGAAATGTCAGTGCGCCCCAGGACGGCTGTGGCTACAATGTAGCTTGCCATCACCAGTGTGTGAATGTGTGTGTGAATGGGTGGACGACTGAATGTGTAAAGCGCTTTGGGGTCCTTAGGGACTATGTAAAGCGCTATACAAATACAGGCCAAATGTCTCAGTTTAAATATTTAATGAGTTTTCTGTAGTCTCTGAATAAATTTGTTTTTGTTAGATTTGCAAATCATTGCATTTTGTTTTCATTAACACATTGTTCCAACACTTTTAGAATTGGGGTTGTCCATCAGTTTACCTGCTCACATATTCTTTGGTGCTAGTAAGGAAATTTGAAATGAATTTACCGGTGTTATCCATGAAGTTGGTCTCCACTATGATGTCATCCACATACACCTTAGGAGTAGTATACAACAGTACAGGACGGTGTATCCCAGCATAGTTGAAGAAATCAAAGTAGATGTTTTGCACAAAAAAACCATCAGGATACCTGCAGACCGAACAGTCTTCACATCATCTACATTCTCACTGATGCATCAGCTTAAAGTTTTAAAGGGTGGCAATAAAGTTAAAAATATGAACCAAAGAATGAGGGTACCTGGTACGGTCATTCATGTACTGGATGGTGCCTGGAGGAAGAGTCTCCAAAGTTAGAGTGTTGTTTACAGCAATGGTGATTCTGCATGGCTTCGTTGGGTCCCTGCGGATTAAACTACTAATCTCTGCCTCAAAAGGCAGATGGCCACCTTCATGCTCTGTCACTTTCTCTCCATTCACCCACTGCAACAGAGAATGATCACCGTTTTACATGAGCTACAATTTAGTGACACACAATCTTATTTACAATGAAGCAAGGATGTATTTTGAAACAATACATTTCTTCCTTATTTTAGCAAAATGATGGCAAACCACAGTCTGCATGTATCACAACAGCCTGAATCAACAGTTTTATTGAGTTTAGGTTCTAAACTAGCCTGCCTGCAGCCCAAACTTGTCATCTACTGAAAACATTTGTTGCATTACCAAGCAACAAACAAACTTTTAAACAGTTCAGACCTTATATCAAGAAATACAGATGCTGGTGTCCTAGCTTTCTTAAAATAAGTATATATTTTCCAAGAAATTGTTTCATTATGTGTGTTTTTGGATCATTAATCGATAAATCCATAAATATCATTGATAATTACTAAAATAATAATTAATATTTTTGTAAAAATAAATAATAATAAATAAATATTTTTACAATTATCATGATACCCACCACTATTGAGTAATAGTGAGCACTTCCCACTCTAAGAACCACTCTTGTTCCCTCATCGGAGATCCAGCGGGCCGGCACAAACACCTCTCGCTCATACCACACCCAGCCAATGAAATCTCTTAGTGTGGGGTCCTGTGTGATGTCATTGTAGCTGGCAGGAACTGGCATTTCAATCACTGGGCCGGTCTAAAGAATATAAAACAACAAAGAGAAGACAGGACTTTACAGGGATACCTGTAGCAGCCATTTGAAAGTAGGCAATACACATGTTTATGTATTTGACTTCATTTGATTCTCATGGTTAGCCCCCTTCGTGTGCATTTGCCAAATATTTATAATGTAAGGTTTTGACCTTTGTTCTCCATCCATCCATTCGCTTCCACCTATCCTTTTTTAGGGTCGCAGGGGTGCTGGAGCCTATCCCAGCTGTCATAGGGCGAGAGGCGGGGTACACCCTGGACAGGTCGTCAGTCTGTCGCAGGGCTAACACACAGGGACAGACAACCATTCGCACTCACATTCACCCCCGCATTCACACCTATGGGCAATTTAGATTTTTCAATGAACCTATCCCCACAAAGTTCTCATCTTGTTTATTTTTCCTTGTGAAATTGTGAATATTTTCTGCAATAAATGTCTCTAAACACCTCAAAACAAGACAATCTGACAGGAATGTATCCATTTGTGCTTGGTTTAAGCAAGGCTTTGTGAAACACAGAAACATTTAAAGCATGTGAGAATTGTGTAACTGTTTTGAAACAGTCTGATAACCATCTCCAAAGTGACTGGACACTTTTTTTTTTTGCTATTGCCATGAATTGATAATGGTATTCTGTGAAACAATGACACATAAAGGCCTTGCACAACTCTAATTTTACTTAGTATGCCAGACTATCAATTATAATGTTTTGGTTTTGAAAAATCATCATGCAGCATAGCAAGAAAAACTTTGACACTGTTAAAAACAGCAGGCTGTGACTGATGATCAGCGTGTTTCAGCAAATATCATTTCCCCTCCTGTTGCGTTAACATACGTGAGGTGGTTTCAGTTGCTTAATAATTCGATGCAATGCATAATGAACCACTTTATAAAATAAATTATATATTGCAAAAAAAACTGTTTTTGTTATAACCTCATATTTTTGTGGACTTAGATGTCACCTACTTTGAAGGTAGCTTAAGTAAAGTTAATTGAATGCTTCCAATTATGGTCATGCAAAATGAAAATCAAGTAACAATGTCTAAATTTGTTATTTCTAAAGCTTTTTCTTTCTTTCTTTTTTAGTTTTCTATAAGTTACCTCCTCAAACTTGATGTGATAGGTATAACAGGTATAAAAAATCTATTTTTGCTAATGTAAAGCTGTGGATAAACAACACATCCAGTGGATCGTGTTCTTAGAGCAAGCATTAGTGAACTCTGCTGTGGTTGCTGCCGATAACGACTTTTAGGCTTTCTGGGAGTTTACCAGGCTTGTTCCAGCAGCAGAAAAGCCACCTATCCAAACTGAGGATGCACGAAAGCTTCAGTTCGCAGTGGTCATGAGACTTTCCACCCGGGCTTTGAAACTTAGTTTTGAACACCCAGTTCCTAGCTAAACGTATGAATGAGTCAACCCAAAAAGTTTGTGAGGGTTTCTTGTATTTGTGTTAACACGTTTTATGGCATTCCAAGTAGGTTTTATTTACGATTATTTTTTTTTTTGGTATAACTACATAATTGCAGTATGTTTAAAGGTTCTTGTTTACAGAGAGTAAAATGTGCACATTACTGTATGTGCACTTTGTTTTACTATTGACAGGGTTACAATAGTAAAACAAAGTGGGCTGATTTATTTCATCTGCCCTGCTATCACCTCCGTTCCCGCTCACCTCTGCCAGCCGACGTTTGTACCAAACCTTCTCGAAGCCCTCGTTCCTGTTGGGGGACCCGTCAGGCCTGAAATCCCACAGCCCGTTCAGCTCCTTCACCTCCCTGGAGGTGGACTCCCGAGGAAAGAGCATGCCGCCGTCCAGCGGGAGCACCGTGCCAAACACTGATAGCAACCACAAGACACGGAGCACCGCGAAACTTCCAGGTACAGACATCCTGAAGCCCTCTTCTACTGCCCTCTCGGAGACGAACCCCGAAGTTTTCTTTGTTGTTCCGCTTTAGAGGTCACGTGACAACGGCATTACGTAACATCCCCACCGCTTTTCTGCTTAAAGCCCTCCAACGCTCTTCCCTTTTTTTCAGTCCTGTCATTTTCTCCCCTCAAGCTAATCTTTAACTCTTTCAGGCTGGAGACAGACGAAGTTTCGCATTTCAACGCTAAGCATTAACCTTTTATAAAAAATAGTAGGTTTACCCTGCCGACAGTTTCCCTGCCAGCGTTGGGGTTTTTTTTGGTTTGCCTTGGTTTTTGGCCCAAAAAAAAAAGTTCCCCAACTTTCAACCTCCCTAAAAAAAAAGGAAAATTAAAAAAAAATCAGCTGCTATATTCAGAATTAAATGTTTTAGTTCTTCTAACGTGACATTAAAGTAGGCAGGAAACACCCAGGATGTCACCAAAGAAACTAACTTAGCACAATATGTCTGTTTGTCATATCTAAGTCATATCTGTTTTCACATGAATTCGAAATGCAGATTCACAGATTCAAAGTTCACTGCTTTTGTTTACACTTAAAGGTTCAACAACTGGAGACAACCGATAGATCCAGTGTAATCCACAACTTCCCAGTTACAGTCTCAAGAAGACACCATTTTAATCAAGCCCTCACTCCTTGCCACAAGATCACTCTGGGAGGATTACTAACACCCAAATATCCTGGGCAGAAGGGAGCAGGAGTCAAAGGACATAAATGTTTAACCACAGGAGGGCCAAGTCCACTAACAGTTCTTAGTTAAAAATCCAGCCTTGAGTGAACTGCTTCATCAAGCTTAAGTAGGAGACAGGTCATAATCAAATAACCCACAGGTGAGATAATCAGCCCAGGTGCACAATGTTGGTAGGCAGGAGATGGAGGAAGAACCGCCTCTGAAACACAGGGTGTAGTTAGTACGCACACACACATACACACACACACACACGGAGAGAGAGAGCGAGAGAGGTGAGTCTCTCTCTCTCTCACACACACACACGGAGAGAGAGAGGTGAGTCAGCCAGGAACACTGAGGGTCCATGTCACTGTCTAGAATCAAATTTTGACTGTGACTCAGTTTCCATCATAATGCCATGCATACAGTGACCTGTTGCTTACAAACATATTAAACCTTTTTCACCTACCTAAACCTCTGTTCAACTCTATCCAAATTTACAATTATACTATATTTATATTATAAAAACGACCCAAGCACAACTATTGTAGTGTCTAAAAACTATTTAGACCTAATAATCACAGATTTCAATAATTTTATAGCCTTGGGTTAGTTATCAAATCTAAGGCCAAAGCTCATACACGTCCTTCCTTTATTGTGCAGATTCAACAAGGGGCAGGTACCTCCGTTCAAAGAGGGGAGAAATAGACTTCGGTGTTACAGCTGTAATTTAAAACCATGTTTGGAGTGCAGTGGATCCTGTTAAATGTCACAGTTGATGGTCAGAGGGCCCGGTGGCGCCAGTGTCCGGCAGCCTCGCCTCTGTCAGTGCGCCCCAGGGTGGCTGTGGCTACAATGTAGCTTGCCATCACCAGTGTGTGAATGTGTGTGTGAATGGGTGGATGACTGGATATGTAAAGCGCTTTGGGGTCCTTAGGGACTAGTAAAGCGCTATACAAATGCAGGCCATTTACCATATCAATGCATATATTCTCTTTAGAACCTCAGCTGACATTTTGAAGTGAGTCATTAGAAAGAACACAAAGCAAGCATGAAACCTCATTCTTCCTGCACTTGTGTCTCTGCCCATCCTCCTAATTGCTTTTCTGGATTGACGTTCCCACATAAACACTGTTTGTGTTGACTTTGACTACACTTTAACCCTTTAGTTAAATGTCTGCCACTTCATCACTTTCTTGCCCTTTCCGTCTCCCAGTTATAAAGGGCAGAGTGGATGGGAACTATCATATTATTGATTCTTAATCATTGACTTATTCATTCGTTCATGTGTGTACCCCTTTAATCCTGCAGTTGGAGATGGGTTTAATTACTTATATAGTCATGGGTAGCTTCAGCTATGATAACTAAAGCTTTAGTAATACAGGTGTGTGATTCCAGAAAGTTTTAGAAAGATCATCAGAAAGGTAGTTCAAGAATAATAGCTGTTTAAGTCCACAGCTAGGTTAGTTAAAATATTAATACTCATATGAGATTATTCAGCTGGCTATGCAAGAGTACAGAGGAGGACATCATGGCTGACTCAGAAGAGATAGTAATAAGGAAGAAAATTAAGAATAATTTCCTAGATAAGCAACAGAGCCTCATTGCATAATATTCCAGTTTATTGTGAAAAACAGGAAATAAATCATCTGATGATAATATCCTATTGGGGAGGATCCCTCAGACCAACAACTGTATGGAAAAAAAAATCATTGATCTACCACTCATTAAGCATTTCTCAATAGGTATGTGTTACATGGAGAGGCTTCTTATATTTAAATGTTAACACCCTAACAGATGTTTTGTGAGCCAGTCCAACCACATTTACTGTTTTAGATGATGGTGAACATAAGCGCACAGGTATATGTCCCAATTGAAATAAGACATGGCAAACTTTAGCTTATTTTAATATGCTTATTGTTTACTTTGAGATCAGTTTCCATCTAAGCTTTCTTCTACGATACAGTAGTGTGCACATGCCAGGAATAAACCCTTGATGTTATTTCCCAGTATTATGTCTACCATCTTTCCTCTGGGTAACCTGCTTGATGTCAATAGATGGCACAGCATCTTTGCAAATAAAAAAACCCTGATAACCTTCAGCGTTCTCCAGGTGAACCTAACCATACTACCGTTTTTGCAATGACTTAGCACTGAAGCGCAGGCAAAGGTAGAGTAATGTCCTTTAATTCAGGACCCTTATGAAACTTTGTTGTAGCTAGTAGTACATGATGTTAATTCAAGGCAATATTTAACTAATTTCAGAGTTCCAATGCATTTATTCCTAATGTATTTTCACATTCATACATGAAAGGCTGTATTTCTTGCATGTCATATCTAGCTGTTTACATCTAAACATGCATGGAACCAGAAGTCCTTTGGCTGACAGTTTATAAAAGTATTTGTTCTAAAAAAAAATAAATAAAAAAAAAAGAAAAGAAAAAAAAGTGTGCTTTGATTATAATCTATGCCACAGCTTTACATGAATCATGGTTCAAGGCAGACATAGTATAGTTGTGTTTTATTCAGGAGAAAAGTTTGCAGGCCTGTTCTTTTTCAACATAAACATCTCCCCCCCCCCCAAAAAAAAAATCAGTGTCTCACACCCTCTTGCTGTCTGTCATATACAAAAAGCAGCAACACTTAAATGGCGTTCAATCCTTTATTGATATGCAGTATTTGGTCGAAAAAGGTTAAAACTTAGCAGTGGGTAACAATTTCGTAACAAGGCATTCATACCATCAGCTGTTTATTTTAATGAAGCAACATTAATGGAATTGTATTGAATCATTTCTTTACTGCCCACCCCTGAGACGCAGAACAAGGTGGAGGGTGGACTCCTTCTGGATGTTGTAGTCAGAGAGGGTGCGGCCATCTTCCAGCTGCTTGCCAGCAAAGATCAGCCTCTGCTGGTC